AAGCACTATTATAGCACGCTCTCTTCAAAACCCTATTCTAATACACTTTTTTTTACACCAAATCATTTATAATATATATATATATATATATATATATATATATATATATATATATATATATATATATATATATATATATATATATATATATATATATATATATATATATATATATATATATATATATATATATATATATATATATATATATATATATATATATATATATATATATATATATATATATATATATATATATATATATATATATATATATATATATATATATATATATATATATATATATATATATATATATATATATATATATATATATATATATATATATATATATATGGCATTTGCATTTTACGACATTAGAATTCATAAAATAATTATAACTAAGTAGCTAAAATACTTGAAATTAAAATAATAATGACAAATGTGATACCATTAATTTGGCTTAAGAGTACTTCAAACCAAAATATTTTATAAACACAACTAAAGTATTTTGTCATATAATTATTAATTTGGCTAATAGTACTTCAAACCAAATTCCAAACATAAAGTACAATCACTTAGCTAGACATATTCTCTAAACTAATGAAAAAACAGTAAAGTGAGAATTTCTCACAGATGGTTTATCAACCAAGTCTCTAAGATATATTTGAATTATGGTAACTGATGTTCATCACACGTTGTTTTATGGAGGAACAAGCCAGAGGACAGTCTTTCACCAACAAGCAAAGGGCACTTGATTAAATTCCAACAATAATTCACGAACGATCTCTGATATTTTTTGGTAGCTATGACGACATCGAAACAATCAAGGCTTTATATGCTGCAGAGAGAGGTGATTGCTCAATCATCTGTTACAAGATTTGATTCATAAGTGGCAAACAAAAAAATCTCACATTTGCAACCATTTAGACAACTGAACAAGTAGCGGAAATGTGATTTGAAGTTATACCTTTTCAGGTTTGATTGGTTTAATTCTCAGCTGAAGCCTTCCCGCACATCCTTCGGTAACCTCCACAACCTGATAGCGCAATTATCGGTAACTATTTGCACCAATAATGAAAAGAAATGACTTCTTTAGTGAAATCAAGCTGGGATACAAAAATAACAGAACTAACAAGGTCAGTTAGACTAGTGACTATCAGAAAATAAAGAGATTTACTCAATATAGGCCATTGGTGCAGCATCGCCAACTCGAATACGAGTCCGAAGCAACCTGGTGTACCCACCAGATCTATCCCTGTACAACACAACGTCTGTTCAGTGTCAATATTAGCAGTCATAAATTGGTGATTGAAATTACATCAAGTTTAATACTCACGTGTACCGTTAAGCCAGTTCTGTAAACAACTTGTGGATGACATCGTCTCCTCGCACGAAACTAGCAGTACGCCTTGCAGCACATACAAATCCCTAAAAGTTTTGTGTAAACCATAGGTCAATCCAAGTAGTGGAGCTAGATAAGTTGATGAACTTTCAAAAGTATTGTTTAATCCGACAAAACACCATACCGTTGTTTGAGACTGATGTGTTCTGGAAACTTGAAATCTTCAAGAAAAGAATGTAGGTTTGCAACCTAGTTGCAGGATGACAAATACTTTTTAAATTAGTAATATTGCTTGAAATCAAAACAATATAATTTTATAGGTACGTGCATTCTTGTGCATGTGTTCGTGTTTACGCATGATAGACAAAAATTTACAAAAGTGCATGATATCCCTGAGAATAAAGAAAATCCACTCACCTCTCTCGGCGTAAAGTACCTAAGACGCTGCTCCTTGAGTGATGTTTTGTCCCTCTTCATTGGCTGCACATTCAAATTGAGTTACTAACGATAGCAAAAAGTGAGACAAGTATAATATATATGAGAATCGCTGCAAAATCATGAGAAAAATATTTCTGTACTATCACTGTGGATATACTTTTCTTCATGGAAAGAAAAAAAAAAGAAATTGTTAAGTTATGCATCCGTGAATTGTTAGTTGAAGCCATCCAAAGGTCGTACCGCGGTTGCTATCAATAGTGGAGTCTGCAATTAGAGACTGAATTGCTGGAATAACAATGGCAAGTCCTATGCCATTTAAACCTCTTGAAATTGCCACCTATATATCATGCAACAAAGTTATATACTATACTACATATCAAAATTTCTTCATTTTTCATTATGAAGAAAAGAGAAAGAAAATATGAAAATGAGTGCCTACAAGAAGGTGGAAGAGATTGCGACGAAGAATGTAGCAACAGCCCAAAGAAAAGCACCGAGAGCAATAACATGTGCACGATTGTGGCGCGTAGCGAGGTAAGCGGCTAGAGGATAACAGAAGGATTGAACGAGGGATCGGTAGAGAGTGAGAGAGCCTAACGCAGTGGGGTCGGCGTTGAGAGCAGCGCTGATCTCTTTGTATACTGCTGGTAGTAATGATGTGTCGGCTCTCTCCATGATGCCTGCTAGATTCACGAGCACCAGTGTGAGTGTTTCTGGTTTCATCTTTACAATTTGGTTTCTATGAATGATGGATAAGTGTTTCTGGTGCCACACAAAAACACAACAAGCGCTAGCACAATAGCACAGACACATATACCATAACCCCAATCTCTACCTTGATGATCTTGTATAAACACAAGAACTGTCACTGCCATCAAAGATCCTAAATTTGCAAAGAAGTAGAACCAATTGAGAAACTTAATCATTTACTTCTTCTCTTGTTTATCAGTAGCATCAAATTGATCTGAACCAAAGCCAGGAACACTGGATTTCAAACCTCCAGTCCCTAATGCAGTGACATAAAGCGCCACAAACAGAACCATTAATTGTTTTGTAGAGTATACTGACCTGACATATAGCCCATTCCGATACGTCAAATATTTTACTCTCCGCACAAATGAAAGCACACGGATTTCCACCTGTGAAGACAAGATCAATGTTCAGAAACTAAATGCAAATAATGAAATGAAGTCGGGAAAATTATTAGCTTACTTTTTGAGGCCTGTCAAAAACTAAAGACCCCTTATATTCGACCCATCCATCGCCGTCCTTCGCTTGATGAAACGGACAGCAATCCTGTTTCCAGATAAGATGAAAAATTCATGTAAAGTGGGCATGAAGTTGAGAGAAAGAAGGAATTTAATAATCATGATGTAATGGATCAAAATCAGACCTGACACCATCTTGCTTTGGCCTTACTTCTGTTGGTGCACACCCAAACATGTGAATTCCCACACTTAGTGCACTGTATCCGTTTGGATTCTTCAGAACGATATTCAGTATTATCCTGAGGAGAAAACATGTACCATTACTATATTTCTAATAAAGATCATTCAGAAGATTCTACGGACTCTATGTGCAGAGCTAGGTAGAATATGTCGGCCATTCACAAGAATATTGTGAAATTTACCTGATGTGAACTACTGTGGGATTTCTGGCAGACACTTTTAGCCATGGATTCTTCTTTTCTTAATTGTTCATCATAGTCTCTCTTCTTCACAGAGTCAGCAAGAACCTGGAAAAGTGTCATAATATTTATGTCTTACATATTATAAAATGCATATGCATTTAATGCCTACATATCAAATATAGAAGTAGATAGAAAATAAAATAAAATGAGTATAGAACAAACTAAGAAACAGTGTAATACCCCACTGAAAGGAAGCACATGAACTGACGGTGTCCTCCCATGAGAAATTTTGTGTCTAGTATCCTCAAAATTAAGAGAACGTTCCCTCTTTTCCAAATTGAGAAGTGAGCGCATTCTCCCTATATGATTTAAAGAGAATAAAAATAAGAAACCATTTATATTTGAATAATGATATGATTATTAACAATTTAAAGATACCTCTTTTCTGTACGTCAATGGAACATCCATCTCTGTTCAGTTTCTGGCTGCCTTCATCTGTCACAAGAAAGAACTCAAAAGTTAGTAGTGCACCATCCAACAGAACAAAAGATTTTAACAAACAAGTATGCATCAATATATCATTGTAACATAACAAGGCCGGCTGGACATTAGGTTGAATGGGATGTTTTAATTAAGTTTATGTTTTGTCTCACTGTAGCCTTCTGTTTACCATCCTTTTCAATTCACATAAGATTAAAATAGCTACATGCAGAACTACAAAAGAGAAGCTGTAGGCACAACCACTTCCGTAACAGTATGTCTTAAATTATAAACAGCATATTATCATTGGATATTAGAATGACTGAGAAAACAAGTCATTCTTTTGCACGACATCACATGCCCGCAGTGGCCAAAAGTATATATGCAGAATGGCTTGCTAGACAATTAAGAATCATCGATATCTGTAATTGCAGTTCGGGTTTCTCTTCATAGTGTGGAATTTACTTGTAAATAAAAGATATTATTTTTCATTCACACAGACATGTTGCACAACCTAAGTTTATCTTTAGCAAAATTAATTTCCAACTCAGACAAAATTTTACTACTTTCTTTTTGTGAGTAACACCGGAAAGGCTTTCTGACTCAGACGTGTGATATATATTACAATTAAAAGAGAAGATGTCTTTCAATTTCTGTGAAAACAAGAAAAATACTAGCAGTGAAGAAAGTAAGTCACTTAAAAGTTTTAAGTCGCAAGGACTTAAAATGATTTCATGAGGCAAGTAATACCCCACACGTGAAAGTTTGCTAAATGTAGATAAAGCACATGCTCACAACTGTACTTTTTTTATTCATAATCCACCGTAATTAGGGTCTTTGGATCCCTGGTGGGTTCACAGGAGTATCCCTGTGGCTTTTTGGACAGCCAATGAGACTAATACTGGTTCCGCGACGTAGACATACAAGACTTGACCATTAAATTTTGCAACCTCCCGTTCTCTCTTCTGTTTATGAGACTAGAAATTGAATCATAACCCAATTCGAATCAGAACATTTCCCAGCACGTTTTTGCCACACACCAATGTGAGAGTTTTCTGTGTCTAACCTCAAACAAGTCATGGAAGGAGATGGTAACTTCCCACATTTTCAAAGCTTGGCGTGCAAGATTTCTTCTAGATCCTTAGAAGAACTTGAACGCTTGTCCTTATCAGTAGTTACACTGCTCTTCGGATCTCCTTCGGGAGTTTGTGTTATTGGGAAATTTGTTTTCGCATTTCGACCACTCATTAAAATCGCAGCTTGATCGTATGCTCTTGCTGCTTCCTCAGCTGTCTCAAATGTTCCCAGCCACACCCTTCTCTTCCTATTTCAAATCATAAAAGTAAATAAATTAAACTAATAGCATGTGTCAATATCACTATTCACTAATATGAGTATCAATGTCTGACACTGACACGGAGACGAGACAACACAGAAGAAAGAATAAGAAACTTACAAAAGTGGATGACGAATTTCAGAAACCCAAGAACCCCAATGACGCTGCCTGACACCTCTGAACTTTTTGGATTGAACCATGATGGTAAAGTACAGAAATAACAGAATGCAAAAAGATTGTAGATATAAAGGGATATAGATAGATGGATGGAAGAAGAAAGCAAACAAAGTGAGTCAGTGAGCTGTGTACACTGTCGGCGAACTAAAAGGTAAACACAATTGTAACAAAAGAATGAATAAAAACTCAGAATCAACAGTTACCTGTCTTTAACGCTAGAGCATGGCTCCATCAATTCGAGCTTGGCAGCAACTTGAGCAACGCAACCATCGGTAAGTTTATTTAGATACACTAATGGGGTTTTTCCAATCAACTACACCAACCAAACATTGAAAAACAAGAATATGTTAGTTATCTACCAGAGAACACAAAAATGAGCATCGTGAAGGAACAGAAACTGACTTCAGTAACATCATTAGCAATTCTTGTAATTAATTTAATATTTTAATTACACCATCCTTATATCACATACAACCTTATATCATTAGCAACTGACTTCATAACACATACAACCTTATATCATTACAAAAAACTATATCCTCAACAGCAAATGAAAGATGCTTGAAGTTGTACCGAAACAGCAACAACATACACCATCCTTATTAATGCGAATCACATAATCACAACAAACCTCCAGGTAGTATCAACACAATTTAATATAAGCATACGCGGTAATCTCAATGTAATTGAAGTGAATACGCACCCTATCCGAATTGAATTTCAGACAATAAGAGCAAAAGCAGCAATCCATAAACCATATCGTAATTTGGCATCAAAATAATAGCAGCATGTTGCACAATCAAGGACAACATCAGAATATTATAAACTTTGAGCAATAGCAGTAAACAACATCAAAATATTGCAATATTTCATAATCAAAACTACGGAGAGGAATTGTAGCAATCCACAAACCGAATGATGTACCGCCTTTATTTGTGAATTTCTACCGCTACAGGCTGTTGTTACCTGACTCCATCATTGTGCAATTCTAACGCCTTGAAGCTGAAAGTGTCCCTGCTGAGTTCGACAGATTCAGGGAATAAAGGGAGTATTACAGATGGAGATTGATAGAGCGGCGAATGAAAATTGGAGAGGGAGGGTGTTGATGAGGAATGATACGGCGGAAAACGAGGTAGGCAAGGTGGATGTGGAGGTTTTCCGGCGGTATTTTCGTTGGATGTGAAGGTTTTTCCGGCGGAAGATGAAAGGTGAGTGAAGGTGGTGTCGAAGAAAACAGCGATGGTTGAGAAGAAACAGAGGGATGGTGAGCTTGGTTAGTGTTTTGATTTATTTTTTGCCGGAAATTAACGTGGGTCGGCGTCGGAGGGAGTTGTAAGGAGGATGGTGAGTGTTTGAAGGTGGGAGATATGATGAGAGGTTAGGGTTGATGGTGAGTGTTTGAAGGTGGGAGATATGATGAGAGGTTAGGGTTGATGGCGAGAAGGAAGACGGCGGTGGTGAGGGTTGAAGGGACCGAGGATCAACAGAGAGAGGAAGGAGAAGATATGAATCCCCCTTCTCTTTCGTGGAAAACCCTTCTCTTTCATATTTTAATTAATTTAATTTAGTGGGATATTTTAATAGCGCTTTTTAAAAAAGCGCTATCTTAAAACACAATTATAAAAACAATAGCGGTTCCATAGAAAGCGCTATTGTAGTTACATATTTTAATAGCGATTTTTAAAAAGCGCTATCGTAGTGCTTTTAATAATAGCGCTTTTATAAAAGTGCTATTGTAATACAACATTTTAATAGCGCTTGTTAGAAAAGCGCTATCTTAGTGAATATTTATAATAGCGCTTTTTTTACAAAGTGCTATCAAAATCATATTCTCTGTACTCTTTAATAGCGCTTTACTATAAAGCGCTATTATAAATATGTTTGTTTCCTTTTTAATAGCGCTTATTTAAAAAGCGCTATTAAAGTAGGCGATACAAAAAACCAATTTTGGCGTAGTGATCAAAGTATTTCCCTCTGGATCTTTACTGTCACTGTTAAGTGGTAGCACACACAGAACCGGAGCTCTGATGCCAACTGAAGGTGAGATAATACTTAGAAGGGGGGGTTGAATAAGTATGAAAGATTAAAACTTAGAATTAAAACACAGTTATTTTTATCCTGGTTCGTTGAACTCAACTACTCCAATCCACCCTTCCTAGAGTGATTTGCCTTTCTCAACAAGGACTTAATCCACTATTTAATCAAACAGATTACAATAGTAACACCTAAGAACAACTGTTCTTAGTCTTCTCAAGAGCTACTGATTCCAACAGAATCCTCTTAAGGAAAACCTTTACAATCAATGTAAATCTAATACAAGAGTATGAATGCTTCTAAAAAGCTTTTATCACAACAGTGATATTTCTCTTAAGTTTAAGTAAAAATAATTCTAAGAATGAATATGAAAGTATGAGAGCTTGAATGTTATAATTTCTTTTCAGCAAAATGTCTAACTGAAGAATTTGGTGGAGTCTTCCTTTTATAGGCAGCTGATCCAAGGAAAGCTGAACGTTGAGAAGAGTGTCCCAAAAAGGTCTGAGCCTTTTTGTCTTCACATCAAGTGACCTTTCCTAGAAGTAGAAAGCACAGAAAAATCCTTTTTGTCTGTGTTCTTGTGTCTAGCATAAATGAGGAAAGAGACGTTGATTTACTCCAACGGATATAATCTTTGAATATTTCTTCTTCAGTTTTCAGCAAGTTCATCAGAATCTGATTGAGTAAGAGTCTTCTAATGATGTTCAGAACTTTTTTGTATTAGAGTCTTCTGCAGCATGTGTGCTTTCAGCGTGTTAATCATCAGAGCATATTTGACACAGAACTTCAGTACTGGCAGCTTTAGTATTTCCAGAAACTTCTGTAGAAACTATGCTTTGAAAAACTCTTCATACAATATTCTTCTTTGCTTTAGATGCATCTGCTTGCTTCAGATTCTTCTGGGCTTCTGCTTCAGAATCTTCTAGAGCTTCTTGCTTCAGATCCTTCTGGAGGCTACGCTCAGGATCTTCTGTTAGCAGCAATCAAAGTCTTCTAATGAGTGCATCTGGCGCTTCAGAGTCTAGATAACTTATTGTATACAATTTAGATTTGCTTCTGGAGTGTTAATTTCATTACAATCTGCAGTAAAACTCTCAAGCAAATTTTAGAGTATATAATTCTTAAATACAAAATTTCTTAATGGTTATCATCAAAACAAAGAGATATTATTAAGAACCAATCTGTGTTCTAACACAAGGAACTTAGTCCTTAAAACCCACACATCAATATTTAGAATAAAAGCGGAAATATCTAAACATTGAATCACTTCATTCATATAAACATTGTATACATCAACAGTTTAATTCAAGTCATAAGTCATGCTTACAAAATATTCCGGCAGATACATACACAGATGTATCACAAAAGAACCAAAAGAATTCCTAACTACCCGATGCTACATATCAGAGCCAACCGACCAAAAAGAACAAAGCCACGCTTCACAAAAGACCCCCAGCAAACCTACTCTGCAATGGCTCATAGAGCATCATAAAACAGCAGAAGGGTGAGAAACATTATCATAACAAACAATGCATATAATATATATATATATATATATATATATATATATATATATATATATATATATATATATATATATATATATATATATATATATATATATATATATATATATATATATATATATATATATATATATATATATATATATATATATATATATATATATATATATACCAACATAGAATACACGTAACACATTTCTCACCACAATGCATCAAAATTCAATCATATATACATCGCAACACATATATAATTCACCTAGCATATCCACCATGCAAACATTCACCACTAAGCACATACAATTATGTTTAGTTCAACACTTCACATAAACATACACAATTATGTTCATTCCACCAATATATCATATGAAGATAAGAATGCACTCATAGAGACCGACTCACGACTCTATGCAGATGCAAATGTGGTACCGACTCATTCAGCAGGTTCAATTGAAGAACCAAATGGAACCATCGCTCGTTACCAAAGTAACTCCCCGTCGGGCCTACGATGTTCACCCATCGCTCACACCCCACATGGGCACACGATGTTTCAGGATTGCTAACACCCCACAAGGGCACACAATCGTTCTACAGATTCTCCACGAAATCAATATAAACTATCGCTCACACCCCACAAGGGCACACGATCGTTTCTGCAGATCCTCCTAAGGATCAAAGATAAACCATCGCTCACACCCCACAAGGGCACACGAGGTTTCTGCAGATCCTACGCGGAATCAGACACACAAAAATGCAATCATGATGCTTCATATGCAAAACGACTTCATACATTCTTGAAATACATACATATTCACAAATATACTCATGCATTCTTCACATCATACAAGTACATACAATTATGCACATACACATCAATCTCATCATGCATTTTCACTCAATTCAAACAAATGCACAAAATTGCCAAACGACCATATTTCACACTTCACGATTCACAATCTAGGATTCACGCCATACGGCTACCCACAACATTTCATATCACACACACAACTATGCATAATAAAAAAGGATTAATCATACTTGAATCGAAGAATCGACATGGAAGTGAAAACACAAGAAAATAACATCCTGCTACGCTTGCTACCCTGCTCGCTTAGTGAGCTCCTAGCAAGTGGTCGCTACCTGTTCGCCTAACGAACAAGCTCACGAAGGCTAACGGAAGCCACTGACTTGATTCGCTACCACACTCGCTCAGCGAAGGCCTAGCGAATGCTCGCCACCCCCCTTTGTTACCAGCGAAGAACACCAAAACCATTCTGCCCAAGTCTGGGACCGTTCGCTACTGGCTCGCCACAGCGAATGCTCGCTACCTGCTCGCCTAGCGAACGTGCTAGCGAGGGTCTGCGAACTCAGAATTTCCCACTGTCCAAAACTGAAAAAATCATCGAAATCCAACCGATTCAATCCCAACTCGTCTCAGTAGCCTTAGCCCAACATTCCTCAACTAA